TTTAAGGGCTTCGAAGCTACATGTTTTTTATTTATCTATCTATCTATCTATTTATTTATCTATCTATCTACCAACCGATCTATCTATCTTATCTAATCTAATCTAATCTAATCTATCTATCTATCTTTCTTATCTATCTCTCTCTCTCTATCTATCTCTCTCTCTCTTTCTATCTCGTTATCTCTCTATCTCTCTATCTCATCTGGGCAGCTAGCTCCGCGCCCGCCGCTGGAACGCAGGGGGGCGGGGAAGTTTAAATAAAGAAGTATAATGGTGACAATGGTTTAATGGAACGCAGGGGGGGGAAGTTTAAATGAAGAAGTAGAATGGAGACAATGGTTTCGTGGAACGCAGGGGGGGGAAGTTTAAATAAAGAAGTAGAATGGAGACAATGGTATAGTGGAACGCAGGGGGGGGGTTTAAATAAAGAAATAGAATGGAGACAGGGGGGGGAAGTTTAAATAAAGAAGTATAATGGAGACAATGGTATAGTGGAACGCAGGGGGGGAAGTTTAAATAAAGAAGTAGAATGGAAGTTTAAATAAAGAAAGTTTAAATAAAGAAGTAGAATGGAGACAATGGTTTAGTGGAACGCAGGGGGGGGGAAGTTTAAATAAAGAAGTATAATGGAGACAATGGTTTAGTGGAACGCAGGGGGAAGGAAGTTTAAATAAAGAAGTAGAAAGGAGACAATGGTTTAGAACGCAGGGGGGGAAGTTTAAAAAGAAGTAGAATGGAGACAATGGATAGTGGAACGCAGGGGGGAGGAAGTTTAAATAAAGAAGTAGAATGGAGACAATGGTTAGTGGAACGCAGGGGGGGGAAGTTTAAATAAAGAAGTAGAATGGAGACAATGGTATAGTGGAACGCAGGGGGGGGGAAGTTTAAATAAAGAAGTAGAATGGAGACAATGGTTTAGTGGAACGCAGGGGGGGGAAGTTTAAAAATAAAGAAGTAGAATGGAGACAATGGTTTAGTGGAAGGCAGGGGGGGGAAGTTTAAATAAAGAAGTATAATGGAGACAATGGTTTAGTGGAACGCAGGGGGGGGAAGTTAAAATAAAGAAGTAGAATGGAGACAATGGTTTAGTGGAACGCAGGGGGGGGAAGTTTAAATAAAGAAATAGAATGGAGACAATGGTATAGTGGAACGCAGGGGGGGTGAAGTTTAAATGAAGAAATAGAATGGAGACAATGGTATAGTGGAACGCAGGGGGGGGAAGTTAAAATAAAGAAGTAGAATGGAGACAATGGGAAAGTGGAACGCAGGGGGTGGGAAGTTTAAATAAAGAAGTAGAATGGAGACAATTGTATGGTGGAACGCAGGGGGGTGAGAGTTATTAAAGGGATAGGGTCGCAGGTGACCGGATAGTAGGGTCGCAAGTGACCGGGGATAATAGGGTCACAAGTGACCGGATGATAGGGTCACAAGTGACCATGGTCCCCTCAGCCAGTGGCCACGTTGTCTGAACTTTGTAATGTTCAACGAGGTTTAACAGTTTTAACACTGCTTTCGGAGGCAGCATCATGACTTCGACCTACTGTAGCTCATAGCTTATCATAGCCCCTAGACACCAAATACCCAGTACCAGATGTGTAAACTTAAGATGTGCCAACTGTGGGTTTAGCAGAAGGCTCGCACTTTTCGATATTTTTAGCATCTTGCAGCGTCGGCTTGCCAAAGTTCTTCGCTGCCTGAGGTCGTTCAGAGGCAGTCGCTGCAGCAGGAGAAGGTGCAAGAGAGAGATTTCAGATAGATGCTTTCCCTGGGGGGTTTTGTAGCAAAGACCATCCTTGCAAAGGCCGTCGCTACAATCACCACACAGTCACGACCACCATCGCCACGACCACCACGACCACCAGCATTCATTCCGGGGACTCATGGGACACCTTTGCCTTTTCCATTGACATGCACATTCGTCAGCGGTGGATCCTCAAGTTGCGGAAAGAGCGGTTGCTTCACCCATTTTGATCCGATTTGACCCACAAGTCTGGGCTGGCTTGAAAACCAGCAGATTCACCAGATCTCCAGATCTGAGTGGCCATGGCATGCCACACATTGGCCCTGACCTCTGCCTGGTCTCGCAGGAGCCAAACTCCTGAAAGGTAGTCCTCTTGGCACCACGCTGGAGGAGGGCTGCGGTCTCTGGAAAATGATCCAAACAGCGACCCGGAGGGATGAGGATTTCCATATGTCAATCTTGTTGTGCCGAGGCTGTGGCTCCAGGCCTTGCCGGCGAACCAATGGGCGCAATAACCTGTGCCATTCCTAGTGAATTGCTGCAATGGCGGCTCCTTGCAGACATGCTGGACGCCAGCCTTTGCACCTGGGCTTATGATATTTTAGGATATTTACATTTACTGTACATACATTTATAATCTATATCCAATGCCCTTATAGTACAGTGCCGTGAGGAGACCGCCAAGACCCGCTTCTTTTACTTCGTCCTTGCAGCCGGTTCCAGGTTCCAGCTGCTTGCCCCAAGGATTGGCTACAACATAGCAATCAAGGCATGTGAGAAGCAACAGGACGTGGCTGGAGCCCGGAACCTTCTGAAACAGATGGAGCACTTTGGACTGCAGAATGTCTGGCAAGATACTGGATGTTATGGGAAAGTCAGTTGAGACGGAAATTTCTATGGTTTAATTTCAAATTATATATAATGTAATATGATACAATATAATTTAGTATAATGTAAGATTGTTTTATATAATGTAATATAGTGTAATATAATGTAATATTATTTAACATAATGTTATATAATGTAATATAATGTGATATAATGTAGTTTGATGTAACATAATATAATGCAACATAATGTAATACAATGTAATATAATGTAATATTATTTAAGATATGTAATATAATGCAATATAACATAATATAATGTAATACAATGTTTTATCATATAATAGAATGTAATATAATGTAATATAGTATTATATAATGTAATATAATAAACTATATCTATCTATCTATCTATCTATCTGTCTATCTATCTATCTACCTACCTATCTATCTATCTTTCTTTCTTTTTTTTTTTTTATAATATATAATATATTATAGTACATTATATTTTTCATACTATATTCTATTAGATTAAATTGAACTAAACTATATTATATCAAATTATGTTATATCAAATTCAATTATATTATATTATATTATACTATATTATATTATATTACATTATATTACATTCTATTATATTATATTATATTACATTCTATTATATTATATTATATTATATTAGAATATATTATATTGTATTATGTTAGAATATATTATACTATATTATATATTATTATATTATTATATTTTATAATGCACACACATACATATATATATATACACACGCATAAGTCTTGCCATTAGCTGTGGTCTTCTCTTCATCCAAGGCTCCAGCAGCTTCTACCAGACATCGTTAGCTACACATCTGCCATGAGAGTTTGTGGTGCTTGTGCGCAGTGGGCCACAGCAGTGCTGCTTCTGTCTGTGCCTTGCCTTACAGATACTGAGGGAAAAAGATCTTCCGGCTCTGGTTGGGACTAGTTCTTACGTTTGGCCTGCCTTGTGATTATCGTGAGAAATCACCCCTATCAAAGTGGCCTGTGTCCAATGCTGGGGAGGAGTGCGTCAACTTATTCAGCGAGAATTGAACGAGGTCACTTGCCAAAGACCAAATGAATCAAGTTAAACCCAAATATAAAGGTAGAGATGCTAGATATTCTTCAAAAGGCTTTCAACGATATTCCACATGAACAAACGACACGTTTCTGTATCAAAGACCTGGATCCAAACCGCCCGTGGCCGCCACATGGCCAGGAGCTGCGGCAGAAGTCCTTGCAGTTGGACTTGCTGGCCATGAATGTGGCCATGAAAGCCATAATGCAGTGGCAGGTAGCCCTTGCTCCTTGTTGGGATCCGATGATCAGAGGAAGACCATGGATGACACCCTTCAACTCCCCAGATTCTTTTTGTCTTTTATTTTAGTTAAAGTGTGTTCATTTGTTTTCTTATTTTTTATTTTTCATTTTTTCGCTGGGCACTTTTGTTCGGGGCCGGCAAGTGTGAATGGTTGAAAACCGTCAAAATACACGGCACCACCTTGTCCTGACTTGGATGCTGTATAATTAACGCAGTTGCGGTGAATGCATAGTTCGATTTGCTCCATGCCCTGTGACTGCTCGTGCTGAGGCTCTATTTTGGGAGATTTTGGAGATAGAACTTCTTCCTGACCTCTTCACTTTTGCCACAGTATCTGGGACTGCTGGATCGGTCTCGGTCAAGTCAACGGGATTGTTTGAACAACCATTTTTTATGGCATGGCAAGAATGGAGAACATCAGCCCTGAGAATGCGCAACATTACCTGACCAGGAAATTTGAAATAGTTTGGGGTATGTGCGCCTTTTCCCGAGCCCAATGACCCTAGCTCTGAGCCACGCAATTGACAAGATCCCCAACCAGGTGCCATTTGACCGCCATTCTGAGGTGCTGGGCACCATAAAACACCAATGGCAGCTGGCCTGTGAGATCTATGGATTCATAGAGAAATCCCACCTGAGCGCCGACAGCATTTGTAACTTGGCCAGTGGGAAGTGGGTCAGAAAGACTGCTGATGTGTGGGGCGATCACTTCGATATCTGCATTTTCATCCGCAGTTCCCAAAAACTTGCGGATCGCAGAGGTTGAGATACCTGTTGCCTTCTGCCAAACGTTCAGAAAAGCGAGAAAAGCTAGTAAGAACACCCATGATACCCATGTCATTACTGTTTCCAGGTCACCCCTTGGCCCTGCAGGTCACCAGGTCATGGTCTCGGCAATGGGCTGTGCTCCATGGCAGCGGGCCTTGCGCCTCAGCAGCATTTCCGCCAGCTGAGAAGCGACTGGAGAGACTGCACACTTCGCTCCGATCTGACCCTCGAAAAGACACTCTGATCACTCCGTTCCGGGCTCAAGTTCATGTGTATTGTACACTATAACTGACTATAACACTATATCAGATGATTATCAGACTATACCTTTGTGTGATTTTGTGTGTCTCACCTTGTCACCTTTGGGATGGATCTCGTTCGGGATCAGGGGTCCGGATGGGTTCCATCCATGAGCCATGCGCTTGTGGTCTCAATGCTGCTGCTGGCGGCTGTACACCTACGCTTGACCAAGTCCGATGTGTACCTCGGGCTGGCCGCGCTTCGTCAGCAAATCCGGCAGCACACCAAGGTCCTGACCCAGCGCGAGCTGGATCGACAGCATCGATTTGAGGCGGAACTGCTCAGAGTTCGGATAGACGTCTATGACAGGGTTCGCCGTGTTGGGATTCATATCGTTTTCGCATACAGTCTTTCCATAATGCAGCAGCTGCTGACTGATCCCCGGTCTTCATGCATGCAACTTCTAGGCCCCCTGGTGGAATATGCGCTGCACACTTTGCTGCAAACAGGTTATTTGGAGATCAAAACATGGAACCACTTTCGCATGCTGCGATGTGTTTGGCTTTGTGGCTACGCTGCGTGTGCGTACGCTGTGGCCAATGAGATGGACTATGAACGCTTTTGTGCCATGGAAAAGCTTTCAGCTGCGGCACTTATGGTTCAAAGTGTGGTGTTTCTGGATTGCAAGGTGACTGTCCCCGTCTATATCTTTGGAGCCACAGTGGTCACTTTGAAACACTGGCATTGGACGGGCTTCGTGCTAGCAAGTTTGGTCTGGCATGTCGCGTTTGCCGGGATGATGGCCTGCGTGGTCTTTGCCATGCAATATCACATTGCCGCAAAATTGGAATCTGAAGATGTGTCCTCTCTCCTCCTGGCATCGCGGCGTGTTTTGAGGGGGGTCTGTGACGGTGACGTGGTTTTGGACTGTCGCACTCATCGCATTCTGGAGGATTCCACCTCATTGGAACGGCTCTTGAATGTCAAGAGGAAGTTGAGTGGGAGCAACTTCTTGGATCTCTTTCTGGACGCTGATGGGCGGCAGCAATTTTTGCAGTTTCTGCAGAGTGAAGCGCTTCCCCAACAACGCAAAGCAGCCATCCCGCCTTGCTGGCGGATTGTCTTGCAGGGTGCGCATGGCCCGGTGTCCACCGATGTCTTCTGCACAAGCTGTGCTGCAGCAGGGCAAGACTTTTACCTGCTGGCGTTGCGGGCCGATCCAGATCAGTTTGGCATCCCCCCTGATGCACCTTACCCACCTCAGTCGGCTGCATGGCAGTTCGATCAGGAGCAACAACAGCCAAAAAGGCAGCCTTCAGAGGGCAACAGCTCAGTAGAAGTTGCGGAGGCCTTCAGGGAGCTCATGCAGGTGCGGCTGCTTGTGAATATCGACACCCCCCGGCTGGACATCGAGGAGGCCACCCTGTCTTTCTCGCGCTCACGCCACAGGGATGGCATGCCGACACTGCGCAGCTTCGTTTCCATCAACGATTGGGACCGAGTAGAAGACCTCTTTCGCAGTGCCAAGGAGAGCTTCAAAGCCGGGGGCGCACAAGCCTGGCATTTCCCATCACCCCTGTTGTTCCGGATCCCCGGCAGCCGCCCACGCAGTTACCTCCGTGCCAGAAGTGCCGTGGTGACCGTCGGGGATGAAGATGAAGATGAAGAGTCGCAAGGTCCACCAGCTTTTGAATTCCACTTGGCTACCTTTGACCTCAAGCATTCTCGCCAGCCAAGAGAGCAGGACCTCGAGAGCATTGGTGAAGATGGGGAATAGGAGAGCGAATAGCATTTTGTTTTCAAGAAGGCAAATCACGGAAATTTGGTGCGGACCCATTTCTTGATGGTTAGAAGTTAGAAGCTTGTATTGAATTCTGGCAGAGATCTCACCTCTGTCAAGAGAATCAAGAGACATCCAGACAGCCTCACTTTCTTGTGTGATTGCGAGCGAAAAAAGTTTCAGTGGATGCAGCGTAAGGCGTAAGAATTTTTACTATATAAGAAGGTTGGCCATTGATTCCATATGATTCCATAATTTGATACCATTTGATACCCTCAGGTAACCAGGTACTGGTATTTTTTCGGGGCCAGATCCACTCAGTCCAGGGACTTTGCAGCTGCCCATCGAGCCTCAGACCGCGCTGCGCTGCGCTCGCTGCTGGGCTGCTTGGTGTCCACCAACGCCTGGCGCAGCACGCTGCAGGCCAGCTGAACCATGGTGAAACCATGGGTGAAACCATGGTAGGTAAACGACGGTAAACTATCATTAGAATATGATATAATTACGTAGATGATGGCACCATGAAGTACAAGTGAACCAGCTCCGTTGAATATGCTAGATGCCATTGGTACATTCAATGTGAGGTGTTGGCAACCCTTCCGCATCTGGGCGTTGCTGCTGGCAAGCTTCTTGAAGGAAATGGAACAGGGGTGATGACATCGCAGGATCTGCCCGCGCGTCCACCCTGAACCCCTTGTTTTGCCATGTTCACCAGCTTGACAATTTAGGTCACTTTTCTACGTTCTGGGGCGTGGTTTTCAGTTGCACAATCACGATCAAACACAACCAAGTACTGGGTGGAATGGTGGAATGGTTGGAGTGGTTGTAATGGTGGCGCTGCAACATCAATTTGTCCTGAAAAGGGCGAGTGGAGCGGGTCATCTAAACCGGCACCCAGGCTGCATGAAACCTGTGGGATGAGCGCGTTGCAGCGAGCCAGCCTTTGGAGGGACATTCTGGACAACTTTCTCATGATGCCCAGCAGAACGCTGGCCCCCAACGCAGCCAGCTACAACATTGCACATTGGCAAAGAAGGGGGGGTTGCAATCCAGGCCCTCAGGAGACTACACAAATTCATACAAATTCTTCAAGTTTCACTGGAGAGAACATGCAGTTGAGGTCCTTGGGCATTTCAGTCTCTTTCGACATCTTAGACCTCGTAGATCTCTTGGAAAGCCATTTGGGGCAGCTAAAAGCAAGACATCTTAGCAAGGTCTGCTCATCACAAGAACACTGGCCCGCTTTCCAACCACCCCCGGTCATGTGGTAAACCCAATAGCGAAACAATAGGCATATAACACCGATGATATTGCCAATATAAAATATACCGCCGCCGCCACCACCACATGCATCAGCATCAGCATCATCATCAGCATCATCATCAGCATCATATATCATCATCATTTATCATCATCATATATCATCATCATATATAGTAACATATCATCATATATAATCACATTTCATCTTCTAATATATAAACATCTAATACATCATCATTTAGTATATCACCATCACATATCATCATCTAATATATCACCAAATATCATCATCTAATATATCATCATCTAATATATCATCATCTAATATATCATCATCTAATATATCATCATCTAATATATCATCATCATCGTCGTCGTCGTCGTCGTCCTCGTCCTCGTCCTCGTCCTCGTCCTCGTCCTCGTCCTCGTCCTCGTCCTCGTCCTCGTCCTCCTCCTCCTCCTCATCATCATCATCATCACCATCATCATCACACGAATGACAACAATAGTAGTAACAACGACAACAATAATCGTTCTGATCCCCAAAAAAATAGTATCAGCAGAATATGGATAACATTGACAATAACAAATACAATAATAGCAATAGTAACAACAATAGTAATAACAATCACCACATCACCAAAAAAACATCACTTCCACAACAATCATTATCAACATCATCATTCTCATCGCCAGGCTATCGACGCCTCCCCGTGGCCCAGCGCCCTGGAGCTCTTGAAGACGGCTGGGTGGCTGCAGAATCTGCGGGGCCTCAGCCGTGCCGCCCAGTTGCTGCCCGGCTGGAGGAGCTCAGTGGCACTGCTAGGCGCGTTGGTGGAGGATGGTAGGGGGTTGCTATACGGTTGGGATGGAGAAGGCGCATCTACCACTCTTCTGCTCGTTTTTCTTGCATTCTGTTTGCCACTTTGCCTCCAAGCCATCATCGAACAGTAATAATTTGCCATACACATCCCTATAGCACCTGGGCAAAGTCCATTGGTTTCAGCCTAGGGTCTCAGCGACAGGTGCTTTGGGCCACTCCTCCCTGGAGCCTGACATGGTGGTGACGACCTTTACATGCCAGGCGCATGATATGCCTTGGCCGAGAGCCATGAGGCCTCAATGGACAGCTATGGGGGTTTGGATTCCGGGGGGGTACGGTACAAAAATTAAGTTTAATTTAGTTAGGTTAGTTGTTTGGTTCGGTCTAAGATTCTTCTAAGATCATTTTTTTGATTTCCAACGGTGGAGGGTGAGAGACTTCAAGGATTAGATATGATTGCTTGCAAGATGCGGACTGCAGTTGGTGGGATCTCTCCTACACTATTGTTGAATTGTTGTCGCAAGGACACTAAGATCTCAATCATGTTTTCTGGAACCAACCCTTCTTGTCTGGGATCTTGTTTCACATCCAAAGGCAGACGTGGCCATGACAATGCGATTTATTTTGTCATACTCATTAATCACATTCCAGACATTTGCTTCAGGAGGCTTGAAAGTTCCTTTTTGGCCCGAAGGCTTCTCGGCTTCCTCGTCCTAGCTGGCGTGGAGCAGGATGCGCTTCTTCACCAAGCAGCCACGGGGCGGCATGGTTTTGGAGATTCGGAAACGGAGCCGGTGGAGTTGCGCGTTGCATTTACGTGATGCACATTTGTTGAGTCTTCCGCAATCATTCCCAGCGCGTGAAGTGAAAGGACTAGCCTTGGTAGATGTAGCAAGACATGGCATTTGGCCATCACCTCTCCAGCATAGACATCGTGAAGCAGATTTGACCCGAATTTGAGGTGTCGCAATGTTGTGATGCAGCAAGGCAATGACAGCAAGCGTGTGAGATATTGTGCCGTTGTGGCAGGACTTCGGACAGCACCTCGCCCACCACTAATTGAATTGGAGGACCGGACCAAGTATTGTTCAATGTATTCCTTGACGCTTTTCCTTGCTCTGTAACAGTCATTAAAATGTTTTCTTACGAAACAGACCCCCCAAATGGTGCACCATGAAATCATGTTTTCTCATGAAAGGATTGCAGCAGTTTGGGAACACGAGGAAACTTGAGACTACAAAGCCATCCAGCTCAACTGTAGTAATTTCTGGTTGTCACGCATCACACATCACAATTTAAAGATGTGCGCTTTTCTTGGCTCAGTGTCGCATTTTTTTTGCTTGCACCAACCTCTGGATTGGCATAGAAAAAATGTCTAAATCCATCATGCTCGTGCTCCAAATGGTGCTTCAAATCGTGTGTGTTTTTTTTTTGGCGCTATTTTAAATGGAAAAACACAATTTATGGCACCATTTTTTGCACCAGAAGTCCCTTTTTTTTTGCATTTCCTCATGCAACAACACCCATGACATGTTTTGTTTATTTCTTCGTCCACCAAATCGTTTTTTTTCGGCATTTCTTCATGCACCAAATCATGCTCTTGTTTGCCTTTTTTTGTGCACCATATCGTGCTTTTTTCTGCGTTTTTTCGTTCACCATATCTTGCTTTTTTCCGCAATTCTTTTTGTACAAATCGTGCCTAAAATCGTTCTGTTGTAACAGAGCATGGCAAAATCCAAATGTATTCCATCATCCCACACTTCAGCTTTCAGTTGAACTGCCCACCACCAAGAAGCCCACCCCACGGTAATTTGCGGTCTTGTCTTTAAATGGGGCACCCCCCAAATCTGAAGAAATATTTTACTGGCAAAACTGATAAACTGATATGGATAATAAACCTAGATGGAAGCTCACCCGTGGTGGCCAGCTATTGTCATGGGCCATGCCAACGTGGCTTCGCCTCAGGCATTGTTCAGCAAGGCCGGCTGGGTCGGCGCTGGGGACTGGCCATTCTCTCACTTCGCGGGGTGGAGCCACTGGGCGATCCCATTTTTTTCCGGTTGTCCTGCTGAAAGTGGGGATTCATTGGCATGACCGCAGGTAGGGTCCTGATTTTTTCTTTCAGTAAGAATCTCCGACGAAAATTCTCCATGACAACCTGGAGCTTAGGCCCGACTGCGTCAGTTTCAATGTTGCCATGGACCAGTGTGAGAAACGCGGGCAATGGAGAGTCGCTGTGGACCTTTGGGATCAGATGCCACAGAGGAGTCTTCAGAGAAGCGTCGTTTCGCTTGGAAGTACTGTCAGTGCCATGGAGAGAGCATTGGGCCAGGGAAATTTGGGGAGTGCACGGTTCATGACGTTCCATAGATACACATCACATTTCTGTATTGTTGATTCGGATCGTCATCTCACCCCAATGAGTATGGTTGGTCCCTACCCCACTTCCATTTGCCCCCCAACAAATACACAAATGATTTGGAAGGAACAACTTCAGGCTCACATGGTCACTTGAGCCAAGGTGCACTGGAGAGGGCCCAGCATTGGCAAGACGCGCTTTGGCACCATTGCTGCATGAGAGAGGCGCAGCCGAGCATGACCAGCATGATCACTTACGGCTCTATGATGTCAGCCTGTGCTCGGCAAAGCTTCTGGAAACTGGCCGCTTGGACTGGCCCCCAGGTTTTGAATATGAGCTTGACAGGCAGGGGCAGTGTCGAAATGTTCTCAATAGCGATACGCACTACATGATACTACTTTCCTGCCTTCCAGAGTTCAATCAGCAAAGATTGATGATCTGGAGCCCAGGCTTTCCTCACCTTGCAGGAGATGTATCTTGAAGATGTTCCCAGTGAGTTGCTCGGCCTGCGCATTCAAACGCCTCGGGGAGGCCAGCCCATTGGTTCCTGAGCGGAAGCACTTGATGTGCAAGTATTTACTGCATCCCAATTGCATCCCAAATCTTCCAGCATTTGTGCGTTTGATATGTTTAGGCCTGCCTATTTTTGATCGCGTATGCGCCATTTGTATCCATTTGTTCGCTATGTATTTCAGATCATGCATATGCATGCCATTTAGCGAAGCAATTTACCATAAGCCCACCATGGTTGCATCGCCAGCCCCAATCCAATCCAAATTGGTGAAAGCACAAGGGCCCCAAAATATCCCCAACTACAGATAATTATTATATCATGTGAGTTGCATGTGTATATTCTGTATTTGTATTTTTTATATTTTTATAAATGAATAAATAAATAAATATAAATAAATAAATATATATATATATATATTATACATACAAATCATATATCTGTGTGTATAAATGGGTTGGTTGATGTTGGTTGATTAAACCTGAAATCAAGCGCAATGTACAACTGCTCCAAGGCTCTCCCTGGACGCAGCGGTTCGGGCCTGTGCCAGTTGCTCACAGCGAGCACATGGCCTGGCACTGCTATGGGATGCTGAGGTGACCGTTGGATCCGTTCTAAATGGCATTGCTCAAAGATGATTGATCTAAACATGACATATTATAATCATAAGCATTACACACACATACACACACTAGACAAGAATGGATCATTATATGATCCGGCAGGAACTGAATCCTGAAACATGCAGATTAGATACGAAACAATGAAATTAACGATGTATCCTACGAATAATAGAAGTACTTCAGAATGGCCATCGGGTTCAGAATCGACATCGAAAAGAATAAATAAACCAGCAATAATATCATCGGCGAAGTCTCGGCGAAAATTAGCCAATAAATAACTGTCGGCGACGATGTTGTCGGCGATCATGTAAACAAAATGTTACAAGAATTCTTTCTACGTCCTTGCTCTGAGGAAGGTTCTGATGCAACCCGACATGAAAATCAGATTGTGACAACCGTGCAAATGTATCATGTTTGTCTTTGGGGTTCTTAGCTTGGCCCCTTGCTATTCTGGAAAATTCGAGCGGCAGGTACGCAGAGCTGATCAGGCTCTGTATCCCATACAATCAGGTAGCTTCGTTGGACGTGGTCCCTGATTGTATGCCACGTCCCCCTGCAAATGTGAAAAGATTCCCTGCAAAAGTGAAAAGGTTCGAATCAAAGAAGTTTTACATCTGTTCAGATGTTACACACACACACACACCCCGCGTGTAGCGGGGTTTGATTTTTGGAAGACCATCGCTGCAAATGTCGGCAAGATTATTCAAATACAAAAAGCTTTCCGGTGCTAATGTACAGAGCCGCGTTCAGTCACTCAGAAGGGAGGTTCGTCTCAGCTTGAAGTGTTTGGATCGCATCACGGAAGCTCATGTCATCAAGCATCCTCCACGTGTCGTTGATTTCCCCCGATGCCATAGCAGCCCTCAAAGTGATTGAAAGTTGTTGGGCCAGGTCTTGGATCTTCGAAGTAAAGCGGATTGCCTCCGTAGGTGCCGTGGTCTCAATGGGAAGATTGTGAAAAGGATGATGTCCATGTACTAGAGGAATCTCAAAATGATGTCGCCAATAATCCGCTGTGCGCAGTGACCACTCCCAGTTGCCCGAAAGACCGTAAAAGTAGTGCTCAGGATCCCGACATTTGGAAAGCCCTGACAAGGGGATCTCTTCAATGAATAGCTCCCTGGTATTGTTGGAGTGGGTAATGATCTTGAATTGGATCTGGTGAACCACGCGGGAAGAGAAGTGAGCACGATGGAGGTAGTGGTATGCAAGACTTTGCTCCGTCGGAAAAGGGACATCAGGAGGTGCAAGGCCTGAATATGTATCAGAATGGGCCGTAGTTTCAATGTCGGTAGTTGTACTGTCAGCTGCCAAAGGTGCCGAAGAGGTCCCAGTAGTAGGATCAGGAAGACCAGAATGACATAGTGTAGAAGCCGGGGCGTCTGGTGCTTGATCTGGGTTGGTGGGAGCGAGTCCACGGTTGGGATTCGAAGGCCAAGCCAAGCCCGCCACGGTAGCGTCTCGTTTATGCTCCATGGGTGAAACGATCAGAAATGCGTGAAGTGGTGCGACAAAAGCTGAGGCATCATGAAATTGCGAACATAAGCCAAGCCCAAGAATAATAATAACGATAATGATGATAAAAGTGAGGTCCAGTCATCCATCAAGTGGTTCAAGGTACACGGAAAGGACATAGCTCAGAGCCTAACAAGATGGAAATCCAAGAATCCTTCGAGTTGAAAGAGTGTCATAGGTATAACGAAAAACCCTCGAGCATGGTCTTTTTTGGCCAGTGAGCGTATCAGGGCAGGATCACACCGGGGCTAACTTTATGGCATCGAAGACGTAGCACGAAGGGCTGTGAGGCACCCGGGACGAGTAAAGAGGATTCGAAGTAGTTGTACTGTCGGAGTCGCCATTCGGGTCGGTATTCCTCCAAAAGCTGCAAGATCGTCATATCATTGGGGACTTGGAATGTATCACCTTCAGGTCGCAATAGCGAAACTCCAAATTCGAAGGGTCAAGCTGGATATCCCATTGGGTCCTCAATCTTTTTGAAATGCAGAAACGTAGTTCTCCAGTGGGAAGGAGGCCGGCTTCCACTGGTCCCATCTGACGTGACCAGGTGAACAGAGCTTCAAATTCGTAGCCACTAACATTTTTGAGATTTGAGCTCGCCAAAGCCATGTAGTGTTCACGGTCAGGTTCGTTGCGATGAGTCAGTTCCTGTAAGGGAGAGTAGTCAATCAAAATAAGGACAGGTCGGTTTGGAGGAGGGTTCACGTGACCAGGAAGGCCTCGGGGTCCAGCAAACCATCCAATGGTGCGGGTACCCAATGGTGTCTCAACCGTGGCTGTAGCGCGATATGGATGGGGCCGAGACGAATGAGCCATGGCGTCGAGTGTCGAGTTTCGAGTATAAAGCGAAAAGCCCAAGCTGCAACATAGAAGGACAATGACCAAGGAATAAAGCCCAAAAATTGGAAAATGGAGGGAAACGATGTACCTAGTGAGTAGTCACAAATCGACGTGTAGTCACTGTGCTTTTTTCGATGCCGATAAATAATGTGGTGTATTACACACTGGAGTCAGACATATCCATCGGCTCCGTATCGTTCGCATCCAGTGGACCATGTACTTGTTGAGGAGGGACGGTAGGGCGATTGAGATGTAAGGTACGTTGCAATGTTGCCGGTGGTGAAGAAGGTGGTGTAGACCGCCATGGTGGCCAATATAAAGAGGTGGTGGTTCCTTGAGAGTGGTGTTGGGCGGAACGTCCCCAGCATGACTGTAAAATATGGAGTTGGTCCGGTATCGCTTCGTACGGTTGGGAGACATAGACGTTGGAGTGTTCAGGGTGTGGTAGAACAGGAACAGCAGTTGCCGTAGGGGAGGAGGATGATTGGGTTGGTACGTCATAGTATCGGCGCCAATGGTTAGCCGTGGTACCTAGGGTAGCACGATCGTTGGTGAGGTGCATGTTCTCCAGATATGTTTCCACTGGCTTCCACGTTTCAATACCATCAAGTGTCCTTTCCACGATCCAAAGTTCATCCGGACGAGTAGACAAAGGATAGCTCAGCTTCTTGATGAAGACGGAATGGACGGTTGTAGAGGTTGGGATCATTCGCGCTGCTCGGGGAATATACGATGCCGAAGTAGGATCATCAGGTGGTAAGTGTGGGACTAGGCCATGTGCGGATGTAGGTGAGGAACGGTGTGAGACCAATCAAGCAGTATCATCCGTGTTGGAGGTCATCATGTACAATAGCAATAATATGATATCGAGATACACTGAACTGAAGCCAAAAAGCCGTGGGAAAGGTCAATGATGAAGAAAAGAATAACGAACATCACAATATGGAAAGAAGAGAAGTAAGTGAGACAAAGGAAACCCAAAACCGAGGTGGCGGACATCATAACGAGTGTTTTTCCTTTTCCTCATAGACGTGAGCGTCGCCAAGATCTATCTCAAAGGCTAATCACTCGGCCGCTTTAGTGTATCTGGTGGCCGTGACGAATGGATGCCCGCGGGGAATCACTTGAACATGGACAGCGAAGCCTGTGTCCTGTGGATCTGGATGGGGTGTCAGCGTCAAAGGTGAACACTCCCGAGTCGTGAAGGCATCGAGATGTTGATGAGTTTTCCATGTCGGGTAGAACCAGTTCAAAACGTCCAGGAGAGAATGAGGGAGGTCGTCCAGCATCTGAGCTCCTTGATCGGTGTCAATCATCATGTAGAAATCTGTCGCTGGTAGGTGTATCGACCATCGTTGTAACAGCGTGTCGGTAACCACGGTCTTGAGGTCTGAAACGAAATGACTGCGAGCATAGTCCGGGTAGATCACCTTGAAAGTCTGGAACAGGCTATCATAGGTGGCCGTAGAGAGGTTGCCCGCGACCTTGGGGGTCAAGATGTTGTAGTAAGGGTTGCGGACGGCAAGTTGCTGCATCGGCTTCAGGTCCAATTGGAAAATAACCGGTCGATGGGGTGTCGTAGGCGGAGTCCGGTTGGGTGGGTGCTGCAGTGACGAAGACCCCATAGCGGAAGACGATGCCCTTGTTGGAGAGCGTGAGCGTCGTGTAGGTGAGATCCTCTCGTGGGACATAGCTCGCAGTTGGCAATAGCGGTCCAGGTGAATGCGGAGAGACATAATAAATGGCTAGCGGGTTGTATGATATGACATGTCAAATTTCAATGGAGCAACAGCGCCCGAGTTTGTGAAGATCAAAATTAGGAACGAAAATTCTCAAAAGACGAGCAAAACTGGGTGGTGACGCTATAATACAGTGCCGCAGGCTAACTTTTCCTTGGTTCGCATATGTCGTTGGTCAGCCAAGCTTGTCTTTGATCTTATTCCACATAGAGCGAACATCTTCCTCGGACTTGCCCATCTTGGTCGATATCACCCGCCATGAAAATCGAGACTTCTCGTCCGCCTTCAAAGTACGTAGTTTCTGTTTGTCTTCGGAAGTCCAGAGTGACAGTGGGCTCGAGGAGCGGGATCGGGATTGGTCAAGTCGGCGACGACGTTTGGCAGGCGCTTTGGGAGCGGATTTGGCTTTTTGTTTGCGAGTCGGCGGTGATGGTATTCTGGTGGAAAGCTTCGAGGGTGCAGGTAGGACATCAGGTGGCGGAGCGGCAACATGGTGGTGTGGTTCAGGGAGATGGGTTTCCACCAGTTCGTCCATAAGTGTCTCGTCCTCCACAATATCCGGCGACGGGATGGGGGCATTGTCAATGAAGTCGTTGGTCTGGTCCGAGTAATGTGGTCGTAGCCCATCAGGTTGATTCCAGACGTCTGTACTGGGAAGAGGAGTAGGTTCAATGTTGGGAATGAGCGTGGGTGGTAGTAGCGCCATTGCTCGATGTAGTAGAAGGTAAGCATGGTGAACATCATGAAGAAATTGAAGAAACACTGGTTCTTGAATCGGAATTGACGTAGTAGGAGACGAGGAAGCCATGACGAAACGTCGAATATGGGCCAAGAAGTAAATGAAGCCGAGTTTGAGGGTGAGCCAGCTGAGAGCGC